CTACCCCTACAACCCCCACCACACCACACCCCACCAACCCCAACCACCACCCCTACCACCACCCCTACCACCCCCACCCACCACCACACCACCAACCCCACCACCCTACCACCCCACACCACCCCTACCCCCCCCACCACCACCACCCCTACAACCCCCCCACCACCCACCACCACCATGCCACCATCTCCTTAACAGGTCGTAGAGTGGGTTCAACCTGACGATAAAGAAACGTCTACACCTGACCAGAAGACGACATTGACCCAAAGGTGACCTGTCAAAAATACCTAGACGATCACACAGATACAGCGTGAAGACAGGTCACTCCTACTTTATCAATCAGCTGTTTTTCCAGAGTGAGATAGACAGATAGATAGACAGCCAAATAAATAGACAGATAGATACTCTAACCTAGAACCAACTAACCCCAACCCAAGCCAAACCAAAACCTAACCTCACCCTAACAATCCAACCCCAACTCAAACCTAACCAAATTTCTGTCTATCTCAATGGACAGTTTGGACGTGTATGAAGTCTGGTGGGACAGTGGGTGACAGATGCTCTCAACCCATCTGTCTAATACGTATGAGTGGCTCCTGTCTTCACCCTGATGGAGTTTGAAGTGAGTTGCTGTCAAAATACCTAAATTACCCTAAAAATACTAAATTACCTAAAAATACCAAAAAATACCTAAAAATACCTAAATTACCTAAAAATACCTAAATTACCCTAAAATACCCACTTATGCCCTAAAATACCCACACCCACACCCTAATATCACATCATCCCTAATATACCACTCTGCCCCAGGTCCTGTCAGAGATGACCAAACCACGTCAGGTATGAGGAACACGATGGATTATTCTCACGGTGGCTCCATCTCTAATATATGGCATGTTGCTGATTATCCTTCCCTGAGATCAGAGGTGTTAAGGTGTGGTGGGTGTTGAAGGTGACAGGTGTTGTTAGGTGTTGGTGGAGTTTAGTAGGTGTTATTGGAAGTGTAGAAGGTGTTAGCAGGTAATTGAGAGGTTGGGAAAGTTTAGTGTAAAAAAGTAGCAGAGTGTTTGAGAAGGGTTGGGAGGGTGAGGTGGGTGTGGTAGCTAGGTGTTTGAGGGATTTGGGTGGTGTAAGGTGAGGTGTTTGGAGGGTGGTGGGTGTTGGCAGGTGTTTAGAGGTTGGTGGGTGTTGGGGTGTTTGAGAGGGGTTGGTGGGTGTGGCAGGTGTTTGGGAGGGGGCTGTTGGGTGTTAGCAGGTGTTTGAGAGGTTGGTGGGTGAGTCAGAGAGGGTTGGCAGCAGTAAGTGTTGCTGGGTGTTTGAGAGGGGTTGGAGGGTTTGGTGGTGTAGAAAGGTGTTGGCAGGTGCTTGGGAGGTTGGGACAGGGTAGAAAGGTGTTGGCAGGTGTCAACAGGTGTTGGGGAGGGTTTGGAGGGTTGGCAGGTGTTGGGAGGTCGGACTTCATTCTCACGTCCAAATCAAGACCCAATTCACCCTCTCTCTCTCTCTCTCTCTCTCTCTCCCTCTCTACTCCTCACTCCTCCCACTCTCTCCTCTCTACCACCCGCTACACTCCTCCTCTCTCCACACTCAAAAAGGCATCAGCCTTGGACGTTTGGTACCTACGTCCATTGATATCCACTATTCCGTGGTCAAGTCCGCCATCACCCTTGGACTTGGTTCTGATAATCCTGATTCTCGTTAATAGGATGAGACGGGAGGTGAGTTGGTGTGTGTGTGTGTGTGTGTGTGTGTGTGTGTGTGTGTGTGTGTGTGTGTGTGTGTGTGTGTGTGTGTGTGAGACAGACAGAACAGACGGACAGATTACCATCAATAATATCCTAAACTTAACAATATTAAACATAAACCTAACTAACCAATTTTAACATTAACAAAATTAACCATCACCCTCCCCACCACCACCAAAACACAGAAACACTAAAAACGACATAAAATTTAACATATGAATAACAAACCCATTTAACTTAGATTAACACGATTTAACATTTTTACAGGATGGATGTTAACCACCTTAGGAATGTATTACCAAAGCCAGAGAAGAAGGGGTGTACTGTTCATCGTTTGTGCTACAGCAGGTATGTTAAATTGGTTAATATTAACTTATGTCGCTTAAACTGTCGAAATTAACCTCTTTTCTCATCAAATTAAGTTTAATCTATCTTCATTTCTGGTTAATTTAACTCATTTAACCTCTCAGTGACCATATTTAACCCCGATAACGCAAATTTAACCTGTAATTCAACCTTAATTAACCCTCCTTACCTTATTTACCCACAGCACTTATTTAACCTCCCAGTCGTCTTATTTAACCTCAATTTAACGTTAATTAAACCCCCGCAGGTACGACAGTGTTAGGTGCTTATGACCCCATCGAAAGTGAGCCAGGTGTGTCAAATTGAGGGTCTGTGGTTGCACGTGGACGCCGCTTGGGGTGTTGGGGCGCTGCTGTCACCCTTACATAAACACAAACTGCGTGGCTCACAGGTTAGATTAATTTAATATACCTGTGTGCATGATTTTGTATACCCTGTACTGTCTAGGTATATTGTTTGTATACCTGTACTGTCTAGGTATATTGTTTGTATACCTGTACTGTCTAGGTATATTGTTTGTATACCTGTACTGTCTAGGTATATTTATACCTGTACTGTCTAGGTATATTGATTGTATACTGTCTAGGTATATTGTTTGTATACCTACTGTCTAGTATATTGTTTGTATACCTGTACTGTCTGGTATATTGTTTGTATACCTGTACTGTCTAGGTATATTGTTTGTATACCTGTACTGTCTAGGTATATTGTTTGTATACCTGTACCTACAGGTATATTGTTTGTATACCTGTACTGTCTAGGTATATTGTTTGTATCTACACTGTCTAGGTATATTGTTTGTATACCTGCTATCCAAAGTATATTGTTTGTATACCTGTACTGTCTAATATATTGTTTGTATACCTGTACTGTCTAGGTATATTGTTATACCTGTACCAGGTATATTGTTTGTATACCTGTACTGTCTAGGTATATTTGTTTTGTACTGTCTAGGTATATTGTTTGTATACCTGTACTGTCTAGGTATATTGTTTGTATACCTGTACTGTCTGGTATATTGTTTGTATACCTACTGTCTAGGTATATTGTTTGTATACCTGTACTGTCTAGGTATATTGATTGTATACCTGTACTGTCTAGGTATGTTTTATACCTATGTCTAGGTATATTGTTTGTATACCTGCTGTCTGGTATATTGTTTGTATACCTTTACTGTCTAGGTATATTGTTTATACCTGCTCTAGGTATATTGTTTGTATACCTGCTGTCTAGATATATTATATAAATACCACCACTACCTATATCTATCCATTTAATCCACCTATCCACCTACATCACAGAGCTGACAGCATTACCTGAACCCACATAAGCTCCTATCCTCAGCAATGTTCAGTCTTCTTAACACGCCACGTTGGTCTGCTGAAGGACTGTAACTCCTGCTTACCTGTTCAGAGAGAGAGAGAGAGAGAGAGAGAGAGAGGAGAGAGAGAGAGAGAGAGAGAGAGAGAGAGAGAGAGAGAGAGAGAGGGGAGAGAGAGAGAGAGAGAGAGAGAGAGAGAGAGAGAGAGAGAGAGAGAGAGAGAGAGAGAGAGAGAGAGAGAGAGAGAGAGAGAGAGAGATTTAACATAAACTATAGACATTTATTAACATCAAACATTTGTCTTCTTCCCAGGATAAATTTTATGACACTTCCTACGACACTGGCGATAAACATCTCCAGTGCGGGCGAAGAGCAGATGTTCTCAAGTTCTGGACGATGTGGAAGGCTAAGGTTAGTGTTTGATTAGATCAGGTTAAGTTAATCTCTGTTTTAACTTGAATTAATTTACTTTATCTCTCTCACTATTTGAATTCTCTTAAAACCTCACTCCTTTCCCACCCACCCACCCCCACCCACACCCACCCACACCCACCCACCCACCCACCCACACCCCCCCCACACACCCACTCCACCCACCCACACCCACTCCACCCACCCACTCCACCCCCACCCACCCACCCACCCCACTCAAACACCCTTCCTCTACCCCACAGGGCACAAAAGGACTCACCAAACATATCGAGAAGCTTTTCACCATGTCCAAGCTCTTCGCTGATAAGATACGGTCAAGAGACGGGTTCACACTCCTCTTGGAACCTGAATGTACTAATGTTTGTTTCTGGTACGCCCCACCTTCCCTACGAGGGCATGAGGACAACCCTGATTACACCACACGTCTCCATGCTGTGAGTACTTGTAATAATACCAGTGTGTGTGTGTGTGAGTTTTGAGTACATTGAAAAGACCCCCTCATAACTCAGATATATCTCCATAATTACTCACATAACTCAGATATATCTCCATAATTACTCACATAACTCATAAATATTTCACATAATTCAGAATATATCCATAATTACTCACATAACTCACAAATAAACCTAAATATCGACCCTAAAATGCGTCCAAAAGCAAACACTAATTCCCCTTTTCACTCACAGGTGGCGCCACGGATCAAGGAGAGGATGGTGAAGGAAGGTACAATGATGATAACGTATCAACCTCTACGGGAGAGACACAACTTCTTCAGGCTGGTCCTTCAGAACTCTCAGGTTAATGAAGATGATATTGATTACTTCGTCAGGCAGATAGAGATTCATGGTAGTGATCTATAAGCGCCCCACAGTGCCACATGACCTCAGTAATGAGTATAATTGACCTCTTAGTGCCATAGAGTCATCTGGGGCTCTCATTATTGACATCTAAAGCCCTCATAGACTCTTGATATTGACCTCTTAGTGCCATAGGGTCATCTGGGGCTCTCATTATTGACATCTAAAGCCCTCATAGACTCTTGATATTGACCTCTTAAGCCCTCAGTGCCATGGGGTCATCTGGGGCTCTATAATTGACCTTTAACGACCATTGACCCAATTGGGTATCCTAGTGATGACCTCAACAAGCATTAGGTAGTCATGTGACCATCAGAACTACCTTGGTATAGTGCCTTTAGGGTGCCATACGACCCTCAGAGTTTAATAAAGACCTCGAGGCTTCTGTACGACCTCCAGAAGCCCCCACAACGACCTCAAGGCTTCCGAATGATCACTAAATAACTTCAGAGGCTTCCATGCATCAACAGAAGCCCCCACAACGACCCCAAGGCTTCCGAATGATCACTAAATAACTTCAGAGGCTTCCATACATCAACAGAAGCCCCCACAACGACCTCAAGGCTTCCGAATGATCACTAAATAACTTCAGAGGCTTCCATAACATCAAACAGAAGCCCCCACAACGACCTCAAGGCTTCTGACTGATCACTAAATAACTTCAAGGCTTCCCATACATCAACAGAAGCCCCCACAACGACCAAAGCTTCCTGAATGATCACTAACAACTTCAGAGGCTTCCATACATCAACAGAAGCCCCACACCACCTCACAAGGCTCTGAATGATCACTAAATAACTTCAGAGGCTTCCCATACATCAACAGAAGCCCCCACAACGACCTCAAGGCTTCCGACTGATCACTAAATAATCAGAGGCTTCCTATACATCAACAGCTCCCACAACGACCTCAAGGCTTCCGGAATGACTATCACTAACAACTTCAGAGGCTTCCATACATCAACAGAAGCCCCCACAACGACCTCAAGGGCTTCCTAATGATCACTAAATACCCCAGAGGCTTCCATACATCAACAGAAGCCCCCACAACGACCTCAAGGCTTCCGAATGATCAACAACTTCAGAGGCTTCCATACATCAACAGAAGCCCCCACAACGACCTCAAGGCTTCCGAATGATCACTAAATAACTTCAGAGGCTTCCATACATCAACAGAAGCCCCCACAACGACCTCAAGGCTTCCGAATGAACACTAAACGACTTCAAAGGCTTCCACACGACCACCTCAAGAGATGGTCAGCTTCTTCATGAGAGGAGAAAAAGACGACTATAACGACCCCTACTGATACACCACGACCCCTACTGATACACCACGACCCCTGAAACCTCAACTATCAAGGGGTCGTAATATCACCAGTCCCTATGTTAAATTTTCCTCCTAACTGGTGATGTGGAGAACGTATCTAACCGACTCCACTTAACCAAAAAGGGCGGATCCAGGAATATAAAAAGGGGGTCCAAGAAGTTGTGGGTGGGGGAGGAAAGGGGGTGGAAAAGGGGGGTGTGCTGTAAGTTCCCAGAAAAATTGTTTGAAATCTGACCAATATCAAGGCCATTTTAATGCCATGTGCACTTGATATTAATGAAAAGAAGTGAGAATTATCCACCAGGAAGTCGAAAATCAAAACCAAAATGAATAATCTAACCAAAATCTATTATTAAGTGAGATTAACTAAAAAAAATAATATATATTTTTACTCCTATAACATTACGATTTATATAACATTAAAATTATAGAGAATTATATTTTAATAAACATTAAAAAAAAATTATTATATTTTATCAATAAATTTGTATATATTAAAATATATATTATTATTTAGAATATAAATGATGTATAGTAATTTATATAAGAATGCAGTATTATCATTTCAAAGTATTATACAAATTATATATACTTTTAAAACTATTGGGATTTTGTTTTTATATGTGCATGAAAGTCTAAGTATTTTGAGGTATTATAAAAGTCTATAAAATATGTTTATGAGGCTTTAGTTTTATAAGTCTCAGTTGGACCTTTAATAGTAACTGATGGCTTTGCTATAAGACTGTCGGATGATGTTTAGCGCAGGAAATAGTGACAATACAGGTGTTTTCCCGCCAAAATACAACATTACAGGTGTTTTCCCGCCAAAATACGACATTACAGGTGTTTTCCCGCCAAAATACGACATTACAGGTGTTTTCCCGCCAAAATACGACATTACAGGTGTTTTCCCGCCAAAATACGACATTACAGGTGTTTTCCCGCCAAAATACGACATTACAGGTGATTTCCCGCCAAATTTACCAGAAAACTATCAAATACAAATGTTTCCCGCCAAAAATAACCTGAAAATTTTGGCATAAATAAAAACCATCAAAAACGACAAAAATCTGCCCAAATACACCAGAAAATAGTATTAATCCTAAGGTATTAATTCTTCCCAATACATATCATACAAAACATGTATATTTTCATACATACATCATGCTGTGCATTATGTATAAAATATTTTTTTTTCCATTCATATGTTATCCTACCATCTGGGAGTTCATTGATTTATTAAAATATATATAAAATCGTTGTTTGACTTTTCTTAATAAAATTTAATTCTTGGGATATTTTCTTTTTTAAATTACGAATAATAATAATAATGTAAAGAGAATAATGAGAGAGAGAGAGAGAGAGAGAGAGAGAGAGAGAGAGAGAGAGAGAGAGAGAGAGAGAGAGAGAGCAATATGACCACAACTATACATATGAACTAACCATTACATACCTAACTACAGGTACACTAATTACACCAACTAATTAAAAACAGGTATACTAATTAACCCAACTAATTAACAACAGGTATACTAATTAACCCAACTAATTCAATTAACTACACCTAATTACAGCAATACACTAAGTACCTTCCCTAACTGCTTCCCTGAAATCATTTAAGGGAGATCTATTAAATGTATCTTTTCAAATACAGTACATTAGAAACATCAAATACTTTTCAAATACTTTCCAAATACATTAGAAACATCAAATACTTTTCAAATATATTATAATGGTTTCAGAAACACTTAGCACTGTAACCTGTGTTCATAAAGGCTGCAACACACTTATAATGGTTTCAGAAACACTTAGCACTGTAACCTGTGTTCATAAAGGCTGCAACACACTTATAAAAATTACAGAAACACTTATAATTGTTACAGAAACACTTAAACACTGTAACCTGTGTTCATAAAGGCTGCAACACACTTATAAAAATTACAGAAACACTTATAATGGGTACAGAAACACTTAACCACTGTAACACATTTATTACAGGTGATTAGTTACATCAGCATTAGTATTGTATCATGCACCAACTATAACTGAGCGACCAATAGGAAGCTTTTAAACCACTCAGCACCTTCCTGATTCGTCAACACACAGGGAATATGGTAAACAAATAAGACTCGTTTGTTTTGGTATGCGTGGAACCTCGTTTTGATCGGGTGTTTGGATTTGTGTAGGTCGATGAATGTTAGAATTTGATCGAGTTTTGTTTGTGTAGTTCGGTGAATGTTAGAATTTGATCGAGTTTTGTTTGTGTAGTTCGGTGAATGTTAGAATTTGATCAATTTTTTTTTGTGTAGATTAGAACGTCAGAATCCCAGTTACAAGGACCGAGCATTGTTGTTTGCAGAAAGATCGAAGAATGAGAAACATCATCTAAGACGTCTTTTGTGTGTTTGAGGAGGTCGGTGAATGTTAGAATCTTGCCTAGAACGTTGTGTCGTGTATGTTGATTTTTCACCACAGCCAGATAACCCAACATGAAATACTGTAGTCCCTCGCAGATAAGACTCCACGTCGGTTTGGGGTTACAGTGAGTTACACGAACCGGTGCGTGTTGAATCACCCGACGTCACGGATTCCTAGGCTAACATCCGCCGGTATTGGCTGCGTCATCGTGAAGTAAAATCCAGAGACCAAAAGCATAGTCCTATCGGCACATGAGGTCGGTTTAACTTGAAGGCCATTACGCGCTGTCTGATTGGTCACTACTAACGTATTCCGAACTATCCGCCAAGCCAGTTCAACGTTAAAACTACCATCGATATCCACCTGGTGACTTGCGAATTTCTTGTGTATATAACGCTATGATTTCGTATTCGTCTGTTACCGTGAAAATATATTTATAAATATATTTCATCCAAGAAACGAAACAAATATTCCATAAAAATTTCACAAAATAACTTACACACTTAACTCTTTTATTTTATTACTATTTTTGTTATATATTTAAAAAATAAAGCATCGGAAAAAGAGGCTACGTTAGCCCCACAAACTCAAAGAGGCTTAGATCCCAACGCAAACTTATTCTACGCTGAATAGAAATGAACCTATCAAATTGACCTGCTGACTAAGCCCCGCCTACTTGTTGGTTTCCATAGCGACCACCACACTATAATAGTCTCTGATTGGTCGTTGGTAGCTAGGTGAGTTGTGCCACCACCCCTATTGGTAACCCGACAGCCAATCAATTCCCAGGGAATGTGATGGGTGTTATGGTAACCAAAAGTGGGTGGAGCTTAGTGGAACTTTTTTTAAGTACCAACAGCCAATCACAGTGGAGGATGATGGTGTGTGGCAGATGGTGAGGACGACACCATCACCAGCTATTAACACCATAATCACCATCAGAGTGTGACCATCACCATCAGAGTGTGACAGCCAGTAAGGACACCATCAGCACCATCAACAGGTCAACTACAGACAAAACTCAACACATAACGATGACTTAATGAAGATATAGATAGAGTAGAGTACCGTAGAGTACCTTAGAGTACCATAGAGAACCGTAGAGTACCTTAGAGTACCGTAGAGTACCTTAGAGTACCGTAGAGTACCTTAGAGTACCACAGAGTACAGTAGTAAGCAAACAGTCCATAATCTGGCAGGATTGTATTAATTTTAATGAAGTCTTTCAAAACCAACAATGAATGAACAAGTTGAAATCATATGAAGAAAAAATCGCATAGCGACAGAGCAGTGTTTCATAACTAGCACACACACTGGGGCCCACAGAGCAGTGTTTCATAACTAGCACACACACTGGGGCCCACAGAGCAGTGTTTCATAACTAGCACACACTGGGGCCCACACACTGTTTCATAACTAGCACACACACTAGCACACACTGGGGCCCACACACTGGGGCCCACAGAGCAGTGTTCCATAACTAGCACACACACTGGGGCCCACAGAGCAGTGTTTCATAACTACCACACACTGGGGCCCACACACTGGGGCCCACAGAGCAGTGTTCCATAACTAGCACACACACACTGGGGCCCAGCGTGTGATATACTTGTTATTTAAGCGAGCTAAATATATCATTATATACAAAAACAATAATTCAGGATAAACAAAAACATTTATTTGTTCAGGGAGGCAAATTTGATCGGTGTTTACGACAGTTGATATAACCCGACGTTCGTGACGGTCCGCCGCTCGGGGGGTTTCGTGGTGATCGTAAACCTCGGCAAAACACGAGGGTATTCATCAACCCCCGTCGACACTCGTTAGCGGGTCAAGTCGGGGGATTTAACGCGGCGCGACGTAGTTCTCGACCCTTACCGTGTAAAGTAAACATTAAATAATTATAACGACAAACTCCATTAATAAATCAACCATTAAAATGAATCAGTTTAAAGATTCATCATAAGTGAATATTTAAACCAGAATCATTTTTCAGTAGTTGATATATTAGTAATTTAGTCCTTATATTTATTCCACAGAGAGACTAAACTACCTCACGTCTCTATAACCCCTCAAATGACCTCTTAAATAGACCTAATTGACCTATAAACTATGCAGGAATATATATAATTATAGGAGAGGAGGTAATGCTAGCAAGGCAGCCATGAGGATTGTGTTTCGCCTTCCCCAGTCTACCATCAGGCGAGCCACCATACACATGGGTCAAAAGGTCACTTCTCTAGGGTCAAAAGGTCACTTCTCTACACACCTACAAGTCCAGCCCATGTTAAGGTCAGAGGTCAATGTAAAGTTTTAGGTCAAAGGTCAATGTAATGTTAGGTCAGAGGTCAATGTAAAGGATTAAAAAAAAAGCAACAAAATTCACTGGATTGGTTAAAATTATATAAAAATTAATTAATCTTCCAAGTGTTTGCACCCTATAAGTGGCTGAATGGAGTTCGGTTATATCGTAAATCCCGAGTTTAAGGGCATATTTCCGGGGTATATCGTGGATGCTGAATAGTTTAAGGGCATACGTCCGGGTTATATCGTGGATGCCGGACGGGTTAAGGGCATAAAAGCCGAGTTTTGGTGCAATGCGTTGCTTGTGGGCACCTGAGCTTGGGCCCCCACACAGCGTCTTGTGCCGACAGCGTAAACACAATCTAGTACGGTATCAACGATCTCATAAATGGCGAGAGCTAACAGACGTGGTGGGGGAGGGGGGGGGGAGGAAGGGAAAAAAATAAATCGAGCGGCGGAAACGAAACAATTACTTCGATTTACCTCGATGGGGCGTTTCCTCACTCCGCCCTCGACTGCATTAATCACGTGAATATTAACCGATAAACAAAGATATAACAGTGGCAGTGATGACCCCATAAGAAAAAAAAATAACCCAATTCCACGAGGCATAAAAGGCATCTAAGTTAATTAATACAATAATACATTATAATTCATGTCGTTAACAACACCAGGTAATACAACATGACCTGTGGAAATAAATTTAACATTGATAAACCCGATGAAAAAATGAACATACAGGATTTTTTTTTTATTATTTGTCAAGTAAAAAAAAAAAGGAATTTGATTTATACGATAGTTCTTCTCCCCGCCTGAAGACAAACAAATTGCCTATACCATAAAGCTCATACGAAACAATTATTTACATTTTATTTTTCCCGGGATATGGAAAAAATCAATTAACTCTCTTCCTTCAAACACTCAAGGTACGGAAATGGAAAAAAAAAACCATCATAGTCGTTTATCTCAGGATGAGAGTGGAGCTTCAAACACCGATCTACCGTAACTGTATATAAGCTTGAGTGAGTGAGTGTGTGGTGACCGCTCGAGTATAAGTGAAGGGAATTTGATCTCGTGTCGATGGGTTTCAGTTCGATCTGTGGTCCAATAAGGTTTGAGTCTTTTAGGTAAAGGGATTGAAGTCTATTAAATTCTATTCAATGCTCAATAGAATCTACCAAACATATCCGATCTGGTTAAAATTGAAAGGAATTACTCAAATACTCTCCGACGCCAACTAGAGATGGATTCAGGACTGTTCATTGGAGACTGAACGGTGTAATTTCTGTTCATCAATGACCGAGAACGATGCAAATTCTGTTCACCCGAGACTGAGAATGTTACAAAATCTCTTCGTCCTATACTATAAGAGGTAACTAAATATCCTTCAAGTTTAAATCTATATAAGCGAAGTATTTTTTTTCCTTTAAACATCATGATAAGCTGCAATACTCAAAAGCACGCAGGGTCAAAGATCACAAAACAACGCTTCGGTTAGACTGGGGGGGAATTTAGCGCACAATCCATCTCCCGGCAAA